AACTTCAGCTATAGCCTGGAGCTTCAGCTCAACCAATTTATATTAGGTTAAATCCCCATTTTGGTCCCTCAACTCAAAAAATTCTTGATTTGGTCACTACTGTTTACCATTTTGACCCCAATTTAGTCCCTCCGTTAAAAATCCAGTGACATTTCTCGTTAATTAACTGGAGCATGATGACGTGTCTAAATAACTTGACACATCAGATGCATACCTGAAAAAAAAAATGACAAGACGATAAAAAAATGATGACATGGAAAAAAATAATATATAAAAAAACTTAAAAAATTATTTCTTTTTCTTTTTTCTTCTCTTTTCCTTTCTTTTCCCCTTGCAACCCAACGCCTACTGGGTTCCTTTGAACCGAGGCGTCCTGGGTTCCACGCCTAGGTTCCAAGGAACCCAAGGCCTGAGTCTCGATGAAACCCAGGCTCTGGGTTTCCCAAGCGTCTTGGGTTCCATCGAACCCAAGCTCTGGGTTTCGGAACCCAAGCTCTGGGTTTCGGAACCCAGTGCCTGGGTTCCATCGAGACCCAGGCCCTGGGTTCGATCGAACCCAGGACACCCGGGTTTGTTCGAAACCCAAGCTGCCTGGGTTCGTTCGAAACCCAAGCTGCCTGGGTTCGTTCGAAACCCAGAGCCTGGGTTCGATCGAACCGAGGACGCTTGGGAAACCCAGAGCCTGGGCTCGATCGAACCCAAGAGCAAAAAGTTAAACAAATTCTCTTTTTTTTTTTTTCTGTGGATTTGGTTGGTTGATGATGATGAAGAAGGCAAGGCAAGATTCGAAACTCAGAATTGGGAAAAATATATTTTTTTTTTTTCTGTGGATGCTTGTTGAAGAACTGGAGAGCATTGTTGTTCTAGGTTCGAATGGGTTTAGGGAAGAAAGGGGGAGAAGGGTTCAGGCTTTGCAGGAGTTGGGGCCCACTTGTTTTTCTTGTTTGGTCTTGGGGCAGAATGGAAGATCATACTGCCCCATCATCTTTTTTTTTTTCCAGGTGTGTGTTTGAGGTGTCATTTTATTTTTGACATGTCATCATACTTTTGTTAATTAATGACACGTCACTGGATTTTTAATGGATTTTTAACAAAGGGACTAAATTGGGGTCAAAATGGTAAACAGGGACCAAATCAGGGACTTTTTGAGTTGAGGGACTAAGTCGGGGGTCCGTACAATAGTTGAGGGACTAAAATGGGGGTTTAACCTTTATATTATATATATTTTGGTAGTGAGATCAACCAATTTAGATATATATATTTGAACGGTCGGTTCTGGTCTAGTGGTATTGAATTTTGAATTAGGACAGTTCACTTTTGGTAGGTTGTACGTTCGAACCCTACGGAAACCCTTTCTCCTCTCTCCCAATTAACCCTATAAATAATTACAAATTGTTAAAAAAACAAAAATTTAGATCTATATATTTTGTTAATTTCAACTAGTTTATATAGTTCAATGCGTGAGTTTATATGGTTCAACCAATTCATGTGTTAATTGGGCTACAATTTCTTT